TTTTTTTTTTATATTTAGTGCTTTGTAGTACTTTTTAGCGTTATATTTAAAAATATAGTTGGTATTTTATATTGACATAAAATATAATGGTTATTTTGCAGAAGAAAGTATTAAAAAAAAAATAAATAAATATTCTACCTATTGAAGGGAACTGAAAAATATCGTTTGACGATATCAGATGAAACAAGCAGCTGAAAAGTCGGAAGCTGGTGCACGTATCGTAGTGGGGATCGAAGCGGCTTGTTCGTATAAAAAGACAGAACATGAATGTCAGTGCAGTGAGTGTAAGTTAGTTGTTAATCGTGGCTCGTCTCTCGTCTCCAGGATCAAAGGAACGTCTTCAATTTTCCGATTGTAATTTGTAAGTTTAACAGATCTTTTTTTCTTTCTTTCTTCTTCATTTTTACAATACTAATTTTTATAATATGTCCGTCAATTTTAATGTCACAAAATAGAAACAATACATATTTGTACAACACATTTGTCATTGCATGATTTTGTTTGGATGATTGAGTCGAATAATATATTGAGAAATAAAAGATTAAAACAAGTTTATTACAAATTGAATAATAAAAGATGTTGAAATAAGTAATAATATATATATAGCTCCTGAAACTTTTTTGAATTCCTATAAGTAACAAAATATGTATGTTAAGGACTAAAGGTAAATTCATTAGTTTGTGTCATTTGTTTGACGAATTTACAATTTAAAAAATACAAAGATAAATTTATATAAAGTTTTGTTTACAAAGTAACAGTCACGATTTTAATGTATCACTTTACATAAATGGTCAATTTAACACATAAAAAGAGAGAACTTTTTAAAGAAAAACTGAGAATATACAATAATCAATATATAATGCAGATTGTATTTAATCTTCAAATGATATCAGAATTAAATTCGCAGCCAAAAAACGTTGTATATAGAAAGATTACCATTATTTTATACCAACGACATATTTTATCTATTCGCCTTTCCAACGAAGTTGGAAACCTGAGAATTCATCGAAGAAATGCGTGAATCACTTTCGAGAGTCAATTGAGTCAATTCCATTCAGGGGTGAAACACACCCGTTTTGTAATGCAGCTCACGTTCTTGGATCCCGGATATTTACGCAACAATTGGATGAATCAAAGGTAAATCCTAAGTTGTCTTGCAACTGAAAACGCGTTCTGGTATTTGGGGGACAAGACTCGTTCGACATGTTCGATGCTTCGAGATTACCATGAACATCCCATTCTTGGAAAACATAAACTGCAGTTTCAAGTTTGCTTGCAAGACGTGTGCTTACGTGAAAAAAATCAAGAAAAATTGAATTTTCAATAGTTAATCACATCGATCAATTGCTAAATTTAATAATTAAAATTAAATACTTCAGTTAAAAGAGAATTAATTAATGTTTTTGAGCTTAATAGTCGTGTTAATTTCAATTTTGTTGAGTGTTTTATTTAACTCAATTAATATTGTGATTTAATATTATGTCGTACGTTAATTTTTCCAACAATGACATTATAGTCGATCGATTTTCGATGAAATTTAATGAACATTTAAATATATGATTCAATATTTGCAAGTTTATTGAACTTTTTGTTTTTAATCATTTTTTACAGAAGAACATATAAAAACGGGATCAATATTCCTATTTTTCAAGTAGTTGGTTATTTCTTTAGTTACGAGTAATGTATTTGCAAAATTCAATTACTCTATCTGCCGAAAGAAAAATTAAATATGGATTATAAATATAATCTCAAACTTTCGATCATTGATATAAATGTAAATTTGAATCATTCAGAATGGCTGTAAAGGGCACGAAATTTAGTGAATTATATCTTCGATAAATATGTTTATTAATGACGTTGCAAATTTAATTTGAATGCCCTGATACGACTAAAATAAATACGATCGTTACGCATTTCGATAACATTAAATCACTCCTCGTTTTACCGAATGTTTAATTCTATATCTACGTTTGATATATAGATCATTCAATTTAAATATTTAAATATAAATTTGTGAAATAAAGTAAATAAAGAAAAGAAGAAAAGTAAATAAAATACAGACAAAAGTTATCTATTGATATACATAAAATAAAAGGAAAATTTTTGCAGAGGCAAACACCTTGTTCAAACGAACATTTCTAAACAAAGTGAGAATTCTTGCGAGGCTATTGTTAAACATGTGTTCTCATTTTCAATAACAACGTTGCTAAATATAACGAAGATATTCTCCTTCATTGTCAGTCTAAAGCCAGCATCGTTTTCTCACATTCCAGTTATTAATGCGTAAGGTTTTCGAAGAATTTGTCTATCAGTGAATGATGCTTCCTGTTTTTTCACTACAGTGCTTTTAATGAACTTGAACATTGTGACATGAATGAAATAGTGTTATAAATCTTCGATACTATCATACTATATAGTATGAATGAGAGCATAACTATTTCTAGTGAATGTGGTAACGCATGGTTCTTCGCAACGATGAATAACTGTATTATTATTTTTATCAGTCCATTATCAGAAATTTAATGAATCAGTTCGATTTATCGTGATATGTTGTTGCACGTATGCAGTTTGACTACTTAGGTCAAACGACCTATGGTTGTATTTTACATATTTTATTATTTCAATTTAATTAGTTTATTTATTGAACAGATTTAGTTGATCCAGTAAGATAGAAAGGAATACAAAGAAATAAAAATTGAAATAAAAATAATTAAGTGCAATGCTAATTACAACAATAAATATTCTTTATATCATCCACGTGTATATACGTTGCATGAATTGCAATAATTCGTTATATGTATATTCCTAACACTACCTAATAGTAGTTCGTGTTCAAATAAATGAATTCAACGAACGAAAATTTATATAATGATAGAAAGGTTTAAAATTTAACTCGTACAAACGAAATCCTACTGTACTAATGATTACAAATATTCTCAGCCATTTATTTGTTTCCAGTTAAGAACAGAGCCGTGAAAATGTCGTCGGAGGAGCCATTAATCGTCGAGATGGTGTATCTTTACGAGAAAGACAACGCGAAGCTGCATCACACCATCAATTACGAATTGGTGCACCTTGAACCAGCGACACCCGTCCTCAGGAGAGGCCAGTCTTTTCACGTAGCCTTGAGATTCAATCGAGAATACGTAGACGAGACCGACATCGTTAGACTGCTGTTCAATTTTGGGCCAAATCCGAACGTTCTTAGAGGAACCAGAGGGGTGAACACCATTACCAACAGAGACAGTTATTTGACCGACTTGGAGGCGTGGGGTGTTCGCTTGGTGGGTGTCAATGGGGTTGATTTGACCGCAGAAGTGAGAAGTCCCATAGACAGTCCTGTTGGCATATGGCAGTTGAACGTGGAAACTACAGTCGTAGGGAGCAAAAGACACCCGAACACTTATAATTACGACAAGGATATTTACTTGCTGTTTAATCCTTGGCTGAAAGGTGAATATTTTTTTATATTTATTCATCGTAAATTTGAATGAAATATTTGGCAAACGGCTGTTTAAAACGCTAAAAGTACCGACGAATGAAGAGTAGAAAGTTTATAATATAATAAAGAGCATAAATTTTTATTCGTAAAAATTCTAAAGATCAAATTTCTCAAAAACGCAAATAAATAAATCTGCAGAAATTATAAATTGATCGATTTTTAGTATTTTAGTAGTTCTTAGTGTTAATAGTATAATATCATCT